CAGCTGCAGCAGAAAGGACTGAGAGGCAGAGAGAGCTGGAGGTGAGTCGACTAAACATCCAGCAGAGAATCCAGCACAGAGAGAAAGACGTGAAGCTGCTTCAACAGGAGGTGGAGGCCGTCAATCGCTCTGCCGACGAAGCGGTGAAGGACAGCGAGAAGATCTTCACCGAGCTGATCCGTCTCATGGAGAAAAGAAGCTCCGATGTGAAGCAGCAGGTCAGATCCCAGCAGAAAAGTGAAGTGAGTCGAGTCAAAGAGCTTCAGGAGAAGCTGGAGCAGGAGATCTCTGAGCTGAAGAGGAAAGACGCTGAGCTGAAGCTGCTCTCACACACAGAGGATCACAACCAGTTTCTACACAACTACCCCTCACTGTCACCACTCAGAGAACCTACAGACTCGTCCGGCATCGATATCCGTCCTCTGAGCTACTTTGAGGACGTGACGGCGGCTGTGTCAGAAGTCAGAGATAAACTACAGGACGTTCTGAGAGAGAAGTGGACAAACGTCTCACTGGCAGTGACTGAAGTGAACGTTTTACTGTCTCCTTCACGAGCAGAGCCCAAGACCAGAGATGAGTTCTTAAGATATTCAAGTGACATCACACTGGATCCAAACACAGCACACACACAACTGTTATTATCTGAGGGGAACAGAAAAGCAACATATATGAGAGAACATCAGTCTTATTCTAGTCACCCAGACAGATTCACTTCATATTTTCAGGTCCTGAGTACAGAGAGTCTGACTGGACGTTGTTACTGGGAGGTGGAGTGGAGTGGAGGAGGAGTTTATGTAGCAGTCGCATACAAGAATATCATCAGAACAGGGAACTATAATGAATGTGTGTTTGGATTGAATGACAAATCTTGGGTGTTGCGTTGTAACAAAAACAGTTTTATATTTTGGTACAACAAGATCCAAACTCCCGTCTCTGGTCCTCAGTCCTCCAGAGTAGGAGTGTACCTGGATCACAGAGCAGGTATTCTGTCTTTCTACAGCGTCTCTGAAACCATGACTCTCCTCCACAGAGTCCAGACCATATTCACTCAACCTCTCTATGCTGGATTTTGGATTTATGGTGGTTTTGGAGACACTGCTGAGTTCTGTAAACTAAAATAGTCAGAAGTGATTTAAGGAACAGCAAATTAAATTTTGTGTTTTGATCCTGAAACTCATTTTGTCTTCATCATTGTCACTTAATTGCTGATTGATCTTCAGCTGTCAATCAAACATTGTGGGCGGTGCTTTGACATCTTCTCATCATTGTTGTGTAAATGTTTGAGTGTCTTTAGGTGGAGCTCCTTTCTGTGTCTGTTTAGCCATGGAGGCTATCACTGCTCATGATGACCTTTGTTGACCTGAACTGATATTTCTCTTCATGAAAATGTAAACTGCTCTGAGGTTTAAATGTTTGATAAATATTAGTATTGATGTATTTGTTAGTTGTTTCTCTTCCACTGCATGGCTCTTAAAGAGAGAAATCACCAGAGCTTCTTTTATCAAAGAGATTTAGTTCTCAGCACTCTTTGTAAAGATTTCTTTCAGTGAAATTATGTTTATTTTCTATAACAAATTAAATGTTGTTCTTGTTGTTTTATTAATCGATATACAAAAGAGGTACTATGATGTATTATATAACTAATTATTATTATCATAATCAATAAGTAAATCATTCTTTATTCTCCTTTACAAAACTGAGATTCTGGTCAAACAAATAGATGATGATGAAGTGAATGTGTTCATGAAATCATTGAACAAGAGTCATTGAACAGACTTTACTGATGGGATGTGAACAAACTGAAGGTTTACATGATGAATAAAGTATTTCTTGATTCAAGAATGAACAAAGTCTTTTCTTCTTGTCTTATTTACAGGGTTTCATACAAAGCTGATGGAGAAAATGTGAAACTAATATGAGAGTATAACTGAGTCAGTTTTCCTCCTGAAACACCACAAAGTACAGAGTTCATGTTCATCACTTTTTATGACTTATTTCAACATAATCAATTGTTCGAGCATGTTATGTGTTAAAACAAAACAAAACAGTCACACCAGCAAAGGAAGAGATCGACTCCATGTGAAGGTGAGCTTTGATAGCAGGAACCACACGGGGCCTTTTGCTCATGAAGCTTGGGACCCGCATCCTGCAAGACAAAGAGCCAGCGAGAAAGAAGATACATGGACATCTAAGGAAAGGAGGAGAGATTCAGCAGCTGCTCATGATGAGCTCAGGTTGTGTCTGATTGTCAACATGAGTTCCTTTATAATCAGGACATTTACCTCTACAGTATTTACCAAATCTCTAGAAACTGGAATATTACCAAATGAGCAGAAAGTAGCACCTGTGGGTAAATGTGAAGTCCATTCAACAACTACCTCCCTCTTTCTGTCCCTCCATGTTTCTCAAAGAATTTGGTAAAGTTGGTTTACAATAAAATGCAGGAGAGGAACTTCCTGTATTACCAGCAGTATGGATTCTGAAAAAAAAGGTTTGACATAATTGTCTGTGCTTCAAAATGATTCCTTTCAAAAACAAGCAATATGCTTTCTGAATATTTAGTATTTGACTCTGTTAATCAAACCAATTTACAAAATGGTTCCAATTAAAAAAAACAAAAAACATCTCTCAATGTCAAAAAATCTAATCTGCTGAAAATCTTCAGTAAATAAGTGAATTAGCCACAGGTCTCATCCACAGGTTTCCGTTGAGTCCTGATTGATGAAACTCTGAGCTTGAAGAGTCATATTCTGTTTGTTTTCAATAAAACATCTAAATCAACATCGTTGGCAAGTTTCAAAGTTTGCTTCACCAAAAGTGTTCAACAACTTTCTACTGAAAAAAATGATTCTGCACCCCTGTAAATGTTACATGTCTTAATCTAGTTTATTTGATCGATTTTAATGTGTAATTGAATCCTACGTATCTTTTTTAATTAATCTTAAAATGTACTGCGCTCGTTTAAAATGAGTTAATTCCATTCAGGTAAAAGTAGTGAGAAAGAAATATGTACAATTTAATTTCCACACGCTTTCCTGTCTGCGCATGGGCAGACTGCTAGAAATTCAAATTCTGAAGGCGGGGATTTTTATAACCATATGTGTTGTATTTGTTCTAAAACAGAGTTTTCTTTACACTTTAAAACAGTGTTTGACAGAAAAAATACTACTTTAGCTGACGTCACAACAGCTAACGTTACAACAGCCAGCTTAGTTGTGTAGTAACATAATGTGAATGTGATATGTATGTTAACATTAAGCTAACATGATATTGCTCTCAAGTGTAATGCTAGGTGAATTCAATTTTAGTAGCTTTTAGACTGTTTTAGTAGCTTGTGGACTTCACAAACATGCATGCAAATGTTAATGGACTATTTAATGAGTTGTAGACTGGCCATGCTGATTAACAACTGGATATTCCTGACTGGTTGCAAGTATTCTCTGCAGAGGTTTGGTGACACCGAATCAAGAGAAAACAATAATTTAAAGGGAGAATATAATGTCGGAATATGATGAGCTATCCAGATTAGCTTGTTAGTCATGCACAAAGAAAAATAAGATGTGCTCCGTGATGAAGAAGCTTTGGTTCTTACTGTATCAAACAGCGTGTCAACCTTAAATTGAAGGGTAAAACACTATTTGGGAGTCACTTACTGGCATTTCGAGCTTTTCAGAGTCAACGACCAGCTGCATTCTGCATCTCCACACTCTGCAGCTGTGCACGTAGCAGGATGAATATCTTTTGGTTAAAAGGAAAAAAACATCCGAGACATCCAGTTCCATTTTAAAGTCACGGCAGATGCTCTTATCCACAGAAACTATCAATGAGAGAACCTGCAGCCCTTTGTTATTCTCAGCTCATGTCTACGGGCTGTATTGTAGCTGTGACACAGGTCGCTGCTAGGAGGCACAATATCAGATCAATGCCAACATTCCTCCTCCATGCCTGAGGGTGCAGTTGTCTCCATCAAGGGCAAATAATGGAGCAGATTAGCACAGCAAGTGCATAAGCAAGTGTGAAGAAACAGCTCAGGGATTTGTTGCCACCCTTCTGCTAAACACTGTCTCCAGTAAATGTATTCAGAGCAGAAGATAACACGAGCAGAAAGCTTTGAAAACTGGGGTTTGTAAGGCTGAACAGTTGTTTTTGTTTTTTCCAAAGACACTGGAAGCTGC